TACATGCGTGCAGCATCATGCAGCATTCCTTCTCCTCATCTCCCACCAGTCGCTTTATCCCCTCCCTCTGTGATGCGAGCAAGAGAGAAATTATTCCACCGCTACTTCTGTCTTTCGGTCTCGCTTCATCCCTACCATAAGACAGCGCAGTATTGTATGTATATTTATGGTTTAAACTCTGCATCCATGAGGTTTGAGAAGACGCATGGAGTAAGTCTTCGCGCCCATTTCACATTAAGAACACGTTTATCATAAAACCTTCGCGGTTCTAAGTATATCATTATTAGTTATTATTAGGGACAAATCATCCATGGCTGACCCTTAGACAGCAGACTAGCGCGAATTTTCTATAGAGAAACACTGTTATTTCGTCTGTAATCTAGCTAGCATAACAGTTTCCTTCCATTTCGATAACAAAATTATTTATCACTTTTGCAATTATTACCATTGAATTATTTGGGAAAATATCACCCTAAAATATGAATTCAGTTTGCGTTTATTCTCTTCAAGTTTTTAAACGATCAAAGATTCAAAATCTCAATTCGTATTAGTGTGATGTTCACGTATTATCCCACTGACGTATTACCTTAACTTAGAGGTGCTTACGTATGTTGAGGTGGGAATTTCCTTCCTGAGGGTTAATAATGTTAGCAGCAACGTCTTTAGAATAGAACCGAAGGCGGTTTGCCTGTCGTTATTTTGACATCGAAGAAGTTTTGATAAGAACTTAGACTGCGTGGCGGTTCTGGAAGGATGGGCGTGAGACTAAACAACCCCGATGTCATCTGACGGCAGAAAACCGTGTTGGGTCCGTCCTTCGGTTATCATCCGTCGTGGGTTTATTTATGAGAAACGGATGAGGGAAAGTTAGAGTAAGATGTCCTTACATTGTTCCTGGAGAATCTAACGACGGAGTGGAGAAGGCAGGGGTGCCTTCTGGTAAGAGGAATACAGTTCCTATTAAAAATCGAAGCATCGGTAGAGAGTTTGTGACAATTAAGGGGTCATGCTCAGTCAGGAGGTCGAAAAAAGGATGTTTCTTTGGGATTTTTTTTCTCAAAAACTATAAAACCTTTTTCAAAAAATGTGTTTGCCTTTCAAAGATTGCAATTTCTACATTATACGGTAATTTTTTTTATTTAGAAATATTTATTAGTAAATAAATTGTGAGCGATCTCCCGGATGTCTCTTCACAAAAAGTGGTCTGGCGTGATCACTGTAACTTCGTAACGGTTCATATGAAATTAAACATTCAGTAAGATTTATGTAATGGAAGGACCAATCTTGTGCTTGAACGTGGGGTTTTTCAAAATATTGAATGGAAACAAAATGTCGGACATTTTCCTGAAAAAGTGCGATTTTCACCTAAAAAGTCACTCGTCTTTGGTCGATTAAAAAACAAGTATGGAACGAAAAAAAAATCCTTCATTCAAGGAAGAGTTTTTCTGATTTGCAATAAGGCGCAGAAGGTTTCATGTAAATCGATAGTAATTTTCGAGAAATATTGATCACCGATTTGAAAAATTTAGTTTCGAGAAAAACGCGTTTAAAGTTTCAAGTCAAGCTTATACTTATATAAAATGTTAATTTTTTAACGCCTGTAACTCTGTCATTTTTGATTGGATTACCTTGAAACTTGCACAGAATATTCTCGAGATGTACTTAAAGAAAATGTAGAAAGTGAAAAATCGATTTTTGAAAATTTCTAACTGAGCATGACCCCTTAAGTTGATGTCCGTTTTTTTAGAAAATAGAAGGAATTTTGTTTCTGGCTATTTGAGCTACTAAATTTTGATTCTTGACTCAAACGATGCTAGAACCATGCCTTCTCAACCCTATCACTTGATTGTTCTGCGTTGCAACCCCCCGAACACTGCGAGCAAAATACGCTGCTTACGTGGATGTATCCAGCACGTTGTTGCCCAACGTACATACGTTTCTTCCTGGGCGGTTGATGAAGTGTTCTCTCTGCGCGGAATTGCTGCGCTTCCTTTTACTCGAGAATACATCCTCCGGGGCGGTTAGACGCAACGCCTAGGGAGCGGCACGGAGGATAAAAGGATTTGTTTTGGAGCTTTCCTTCAGAGGAGGGATGGGGGGTGGAACGGAGAGGTTGTGGGAGGGCGGATGAAATTTGAATATCGTCGTTGTTGCCTTGTGCGCCGGAGCTTGTGCGCGCGGGAGGAGGTCGTCGTGATAGCGGTCGGGTTAGGGAATACTTTGTACCTTAATCGTTGTATAAATAGTCATTAGACGTTGGGCTAAATATTGCCTGGGTGTATGCGGCCGGCGGCGCACACGGAACGCAATTTAGTACTGACTATTTACCACCCAGCGCGGAAAATTAGCAGTTAATTTGGTTTTGAATAATGCCCGGATGCGTGGTTGGAGTTTCACCTCTCTGGTTTTAACTTTAACATGTACACTATGGTGATAAAAAAAAGGAACGTTTAATGGACGGGTGTAATAAATATTGGGTAAAAATTTGTTTTAAAATTTGAGAAATTTGGACTCGAGAAGCTTTTGACTCCGTGGGAAAAGTGTGTTGATTCGGATGAGTCTTACTTCGATTAAAAATCTCCTTTTGTGGATACGTTTTTTTTAAATTTGTTTATTTATCGTCACGTCGACTAAGGGCCATTAGAGACTACAATTACTTATTATTTCCGGGGAAACATTATTTCTCAACAAGATTTCAGATATGGCATATACAGTTCGTTTTTATTTTAACCACAATATGTACCTAAGAATTGAAAAGTTTAGGGTGGTTTTATAGCTATGCCACGCACTGTACAAGGAATGCTTATAATATAGGGTAATAGAATTTAGTGTAGTTGATTATAGGTTTCTTTTAGATATACGTCGTTGATGAATGATAAAACTTTTATGGTTTCTTTTGTATTATCCAAGCAAAGTTTAATTGTCTTGGCCAATACGTACCTTTTCTTAAAGAGCTGTATTTTATACACTCGCGTGGTACAATACATGTTTCTTTGGAAGTTATAATGGCTCTAAATGATATTTATTTGGCAGTAATTTAATATAAATTGATGGGGAAGAGGTGCATTTTGTTATGGCTGTATTTATACTGTAAAGTTACACGCCGTATGCCAGTAAATAATCAATAAAATTTGTATGTTATTCGTGTATAATTACTTATCAGCTGTTATTTTCATGTTCATCATCGCTGTTCGGAGCTTTTTACTTGTTAAATGTGTTATTAATATTGATATCATGGTGATAATATCAATTTCATTATTATTGTGTGGTATTTCGTTGCGGAATAAATTTTTCACGCCTCTTTAAATCAGAATAAGAAGATAAAAGTGAATATGTATGTGTACATTCGATTTTATAATGCAAATTAATTCGATGCCATATCGAATTCATGTGTTTTGTGCATGAATGGCATTATTGAATTTTAACCTTACAGTTATGGAATCACTTGATATGGTAATTAAAATGATACGTCGGGTCAGATCTGACAATGACTATTACATATATGTACATATCGGAAGCATAACAATTGATATATGAATACTTATAAATATATGCATTTATAGCGGACACACAATTGTTTGAAATTCAGTGTACTAAAATGTCTCATATGGTATAATGAAATTTTTTATTTTATTTTGTAACCCAATAAAATCCTCAATCGAATAAATCAATCTCTGTTTGATTTCAATTTTCGAAAATTGCACAGTAAAAATCTTTGTTCGCATAAACATCTGTAGCCTAATTCTAAGTGTACATAATTTCAAATGTGCGAAGCCTATATTAAGTAGTATGTAATATGAGTCAACGACAAGATCAGTAATATCAATGGTACTTTTAGAAAATGTTTTTCAATGACTTCTCCAAGTATTGAAAATCAAGTGTCTGCCATAGTAAGACAGTGTAGGTACTTCATATAACAAAACTATGGATGTTTATAAATTCATATATTCCTTTAACATAATGAAGTACTTTAACATTTTCCGACCTGAATTATTTCTTTGAAACGAAAATAACACTTTTGCATGTAGTTAATTCTTGGATCTCAGAATAACAGGAAAATAAAAAAAAACTAAGCAAAACAAATTGCTTCTAAACAAAAACAGAATATCTGTTAAACAATTCTAAAATGTTATTTTCGAGAGTATATCCATGTAACGGCAGAAACCTAAACGAAATAATACGATGCCATATTGAATATTCAGGTTCATAATATAAGTTATAAATGCAAAGTAAGTTAATTAATGATATTAAATGGATTCCTACGGTCGGAAAGGGTTAATAATCAAGTCATAATCAATAATCACATCATATACTTTCATGAAAGCGTCTCTTTTCTCTAAAGACAATTGAATCATCATAACCATACCTTCCAAAAATGTACAACGATAACATTTACCAATCCCAAAAGACAATAACTCGTGTTTCTTTCTGCAAAAAGAAGAAATTCTCAGTGAATTACCCCCTAAAAAAAACAATCGAAATAAAGGAATTTTCACGTTGATCATTCACGCTCTTCAAAGCGCAAAGAAAGAAAAAGACAATACGTGGGCGAGAAACATGAATGGTAAGTTATTTAACGCGACAACAGAGGGGGCGAAATAAAAATAAAAGAGGGGGGCTACGACAACCGTTCGACAACAAAAGAGCATACACAGGACTCGTTCCCCCGTCATTTGAATAGAGTGAGGCTTAGTATCGCGTTTGCTCTTTAGTGGAGGCATTTCGGAGGATGGAATATAAGAACAACAGTAGGAATAGGGAATTCCGAAGGATAAGCAGATTTGTTTCATTGTTTCCGGTTCGGAGGAGCCCGAACAGGAATAACATAGAATTTGAATATCACCAGGTCCCTTTGTTACGCGTTCCTCACGAACCGGTAAACGATAGGAATTGCGATATTTATTGTCCCCGCCGTTCAGTTGCGCAATACATACATACACCCCGTCGTCGAGCAGAGGTTGACGTTCTCTCTTACGTTCTTTTTTTTTGTTTTGTTTCAGACTGCCACCGTCGTATCCTGCAGAACAAACACAGAGAGTCGAACCGAGGCAACAGGGATGAAAGGATTTCTTCGGCTGTGTCGGGAAAGGGTGAGAGACGACGACGAGCTCAGAATGTTGTATCGTACCTTCAAACAGTCCTTTACAGCGTCTTATCGCATCCTGGAAACGGGATTGTCTGTCGAGGCGCGGATAGAAAATACAGCGAAATATATTATAATCATTTTCGCTAACCCACCGCCAAAGAAAACGCCCTCTGTGCCAGTAGCTCCGCGAACAAATACGAGGGAATAATTTCAATTCCTTCGACTTGGGCTTAAAGGTCTCGCGCAACCGTCGGAGTTAGAATTAAATAACCTCCGCTGAAGAAAATTTTTTGAAACGAACTCGGCGTTTTTAATCCCACCTTCCCGTAATCGTACAATTTCTTGACTACGAAAATAACGGTTGAGACTGAAGTGTAAGATATAAAAGTGCAATGGTTAATAGAAAATCTTCCGTTTCAATCAGTCGATGCTAGGTTGTGGGTATTACTGCGGATATTTATAAAACAAATAATATTTAATGTTGAAAAGTACATAATCTCTTCAAGATTAATAATAAAATTATTTTGAAGTTTATTATAAATAATTATAATTAAATGTATACAGCAAAGTTATTATTAATTTCATTATCGTAGTTTGAAATTCGTCAGGACGAGGCTTCTATCGATTCCTCGATATGACGGTTATGAACGCCTACTTAAGAAACATTTATATTTTCGTCATCAACAGTAATACGTGCAATGTAACGTTATTAACAAAAAACAGTAAATCATTCATCTACAGTTCATTTTTAATTTTCATTTCTCACTGCGGTATTAGGTGCAATACTTTACACCACGTGCGTTTTTTATTGCGGACTGTGCGTAACCTAACCTGTTTTTCGAACGCATTTAATTACGTCAACCTAACCTTAAAACTGAGCAGCAGTGCTTGAAAAAAACGTTGAGTTTCTTTTGAAAAGTGTATTACTATTATTGTTCTTTATTATAATAAGTCTTAATATAATATTATAAATATATACTAAATTAATACTTTCTATCTTATATATTATATCACATCCTTCTTATAAATAAAGTTAAATAATGTTTGTATTTACAAGACGTATTTACAGTAACATTTCGCTTAACATAAGTCCGCAGTAATATACGCGCAGGTTTTTTGTTAGCAACTGACACACATGCATGTTCGCAGTAATTTATGCAATGAGATTTGGCTTTAATTCCATTGATTTCTATTATCTTCGTTTATTAGGTGCGCGTCCTCATTTTTGTATGGAACTATTATCAGCTAACTTTCTGTAAAAACAAGAAGAAAGGACTTTCATTAATTTGAGCGCTTTATCGAGCACACTACAGTTACTTTATCTTAAAAGTTCCCAGTCATACCCACACTTACCCTATGCCGCAAAAAAAAGGTAGATTTACCCCCTTTGAATCGCCTCTGTGAACGAATCTTTTCGTTTGTTCCGTAGAAACTTTACACGTTCCTTCGATTTTGCGCGAAATTTTACGAAACAGCTCTTGCCATTTGCTGATTCGCATGTTGTTTGGACGCATCTTCACTAGGAAAACATCTCCGCTGATGTTTCTATCGTGATGTTAACAGCAACAAATTTGCAGTTTGATTCTTAAATGTTTCAAACCAAACACCCACAACGTGTTCCCTTTGGTCAGTGATCGACGATCGTATCTCGAGGAAGGGTCTCCCTCTCGAGCAACGAAGCAGAAAAAGTGATTGAGTTAACTCCATGTCGCGTTCATCCGGGCTACATTCTTTGTGCTAATCTGGAGGGTAATGATAGTGATTCACTGTAGTTTGGGGAAGCCAGTTCGTTCTGTTAACACTTTGTTGGTGAGAGGGTTTTTGTGCTTACAAATATACAAGTTTCAGGTGTTTTAAAAATAAGTAGAAGTTACTACTTAACTTATATTTGTCAAAGTTTACATATAGGAAAAGCGATTCTTTCTGTTTTTTTACTATTCTGGTTCCTATTTAAGGAAGACGTACTACTACGTCAACCGCTCTCAGTTTTTGTTTTCGAAAAGACATAGGGTTAACCAAGCAGTAATTGACTGCATACCAGTGAGTGACCATTAAGCAAGAAATGTAAATTATATATTTCAAAATTATTAAATGTTTATAAATAGAGTGTCGTTGCACTTGTAATATCCCATATTTTTAGTGTAGCGTATTAAGCAAAAGTTAATGAGAACAATTCTTATTAAAAATATTACAGAAATGCAGCCATTAATTGAGCTTTTACTATGATTTAAATTATTAAATATAAATTTTCTTTTTGTTGTTATAAATAAATACATTTAAGTATTAATCTCGAACGTCCGGAAATTCAACAATTCGGTCCTTCACTGGTTGGTTTATCCTATTACTACGTCATCCGACATCAAAGAGTTAATATCAAATAACCAGCGAGTATAATTTCTTTGCTCACAGATCTCGACTCATTAACGGAGGGGAACTCGTGACACTAACGAGTAAAGAGATCGAGGTGACCCTTTGGGATTTCGATGCATTTTTCCAGACTAGTAGTACAGATTGACCCTTATCCGACAAGGGAAGGCACGGAAGTGTCCCCCTCCGATTTTGATGAAACTTCGTACGTCTGTTAAGCAGTCAAAAATAAGGGATACGTATTTTTTTATCGGCTGAGACGCAACTTTAAGAGGTGAAACCACCCCTCGAAGTTTCGATCCGAAATTTTTTTGTTACAAACAAATTATATTTTGGACATTTTGTTAGCACCATATTATTCTATATAAAAAACCGCAAACCTCGTCCATTAGAAGTTTTCATGTATCTCCTCTGGTTTTCGAGATAGTACTTTCGAGTCGAAACTTCAAGGGGTGGTTTCACCCCTTGAAGTCGCGTCTCAGCCGATAAAAAAAATACGTATCTCTTATTTTTTACTGCTTAACAGACGTATGAAGTTTCGTCAAAATCGTTGGGGAACACTTCTGTGCCTTCCCTTGTGAGTCCAAATCCGTAGGTGCTAACTCTCATCGGTTTTCGAAATAATTGATATTAAAGATTTTTGGGACCTGATACACATTAGATGTGAACGTTGTATTGTCGGAGTTAGTGTTTGGAGTGATACTGAATTAATGCTATCGATACCTGACTGTAAATTTTGTGCAAGTAGTATCAAATGGAATCGACACCATTTCGATATTTACACGAAAGTAGTATTGATTATTGTAGTATTTACTATTGGGCACTTCTACAACAGTATCAATGCATATTTCATAATTCACGAAAATATAGATGCCACATCTATAACAACTAAGTCAGTATTCTTATATCCATAAAGTTCTTGGGAAAAGTCGGTTTTATTGTTCATGATGTCGATGCTTACTCATTCGATGTGGAATTGGTATTGATATTGATATCGTTCTAAAATGCACGAGTATTGAAAGTTAATACCGAGTTTCTGAGATTTCGATGTCTTTCGAGACTTTCCACTGTGTTCGTAGGTATCGAATTGTTTGTGTATCATTAATATGTCTGTATCGTATCAGTTCCGTCACTAGTTATAGTCGATGGCGCAATGGCTTGCATCTGAATTAGGTGTCCTGCGTCATCGACGCTGACAGTGCAACGTTCGAGTGTATGTAATTGTATATAAGGACCCCGTCAAACTTTAATATCAATTATTCCGAAAACCGATGAGAGAAGGCACCTAGACTTTTAGATTTAGATAAGGGTCAACCTATGCTATTATTTTAGAAAAGCGCATACAAATCCCAGAGAGTCATCTTTCGTACCCTGTCCTTTTAAGTAAGACTGAACGCAATCAGGAACAGGAGTAGAACTTCGTGCAATAGAGAACTCGAGAAATTGCAAATAGTTTGCTTTCTTCATTGGTACATACTTGCAAAAATTATTCTATTGGCGTTACGTGAAATTAACGAAAGCCTCGTATCCAATTTGTATCCTCAGGAGCTGATCTAATTTACGTAGCGAGCTGATCCGTGATAAAGGAAGACTCGACGTTACGACGGGCAGGCCAGTCCAATTAACTTAATTAACATTATAGCAGGTTAAAATTATCACGAATATAATGTTCTATCAATCGGCCCGGTTCTTAATTAATTTTCACAATTATTGTATTGGTAATTGTATTTTCCGGGTCGGATTTAATTAACGGGGAAGACCTCTGGCTGCCTCCACCGAGGATCCACCAAAAGACAACGGTAAACGTTCCCTCGAAGCTCTTCTTTACCTCTGCGCAGCGACAATTGCGTACACCTCGGTCGAAAGTATCGACGTCAGCCAATTAGTAGGCAGCAATTTATTATAATGTGGACTTCAATTAAAAAAAGGAGAATCATCTTGTCGCAAAGCTTCCTTTTTTTTCTTCAGCTGTTACGTTAGAAATTAATCAATAGATCCTATTTTAATAGTCTGCGATCCCATCTGAATTTTCACTTGTAACTTTCTTGTCCAAATATTCATTTTTGTCGATTAACAGATTTTATTCTTTAGATAGTGCGTGAAAAGGTGAAGGTTTAAGGTCATAAAAGAAAACGGTTTTCCGCGCGTCTTGCGTCCACAGATGTGCACTCGAGTTAAAATATTATATCACAGGGAAATAGTTCTCATTATGGTTTCGAACATTCCGTACGGTGTTTCACTCAGGACGGAGCTCCAGGCCCGTCCTAGTTTTTGAAGTTAACGCTGTCTAACAACGAGTACCAGGTGAATTTTTAACACAGACGAACCTCGTCGCTGAATGACCTCGTGCATAAAACTTTAAGTTTATTATTATAGGATATATGTACCACGTGACTAGGACAAGGTGTACCTTCAAAATGGCGAGAGATAGAAAAAAGTGTTGCTTATGTATACCTACTTTTATGGATCGATGCATCGGAAAAGTGCAATTGCATTTTTTTCCGTAAATCAAACCATGTACTTTCGAGTACAACGATCGATGCAGTCTTCTATAAAAATGTATGAAGGTACTTATTTCTTTAAATTGTTCGCTTAAAAGTTATTTTATCCTTTGCTGAATTTTTTTATTTACCAACA